AGAATGTAGCTTTTCAGTTACAAGACTGCTGGTTCAGCTATTTCTCATGCCTATCTTTCTCCACAGTACCTAGCGCAGATGCGAAAAACAGCAATTTGGAGTGCCCTGCATGTTTTGCTTTCTCTTCCACCTACTGCGAGGCCACAGTGATCAAATGTCCTGAATCAGAGAACCAATGCGTGAACATTACTGGGAAGCTTTCTGACGGTAAAACTGAAACCAAAATACTTGGGGTGAGGAAGTATCTGGCTAGGCTCACATCACATGTTTAGTCCTGGCTGGCAGACAGAATTAATTTTCTGAATGTCTACAGCTCAACTGCGAATTTTGTCTTGGCTGTAGTTGTCTCTCTCACACACACACAAATATGTACATAATCCTGGAAAGTTCAGCAAGGTTGGTTGGACCTGGCTAGCCTTTGGATGAGCTCAGCTGGAAAGCCAGAAACAGCTCTTGGCAGAAGGTGATGGGAAACCCCTTCTCTTGTGTTGCTCTAAAAAATACATCGACATGTCCACAGAGTCAGTAAGAGTCAAAGAGTCTCAACCTTTTCCTTTGTATTAGCAGGAATTACCTGAAGCTACTTTTCCTCTTTTTGATCTTTTCCAGCTTCTGGAATAAAATCCTTCTATGGTAGAGGTTGTACTACACCTGCAGCAAAGAACATTACTATCGGTGACGCTATAGCCACAAATAAAGACTCCTGGCTTGAAATTGCTGGCATCAGCATGGAGAAAGCTACAGGTAGTTCATGGTCAGTTCGAGGAAGCTTCACAGTTACCCTCCTCTCTGGTCTTATTGGAATCCAGCTGACCAACTTCTTTTATTGATCTTGGTTTCCTGTATTGAAAAAGCATCTGAGTCCCAAAGAATTAAGGATGTGGCTCATTTGGACAGTTGAGGTGTAACTTAACCCCAAAGATGTTTCAATGTTACCTCTGAGAAATTACGTTTTTGTGTCAGTACTATGTGATTTTTTAAAAACGTTTTAATAAGTTTCAGTCATTATGCCTAATTCATTAAAAGGATTTTCCCAATCTCTGACATTACAATGTATTTGCATTCAGTTAATGTGAAAAAAAATAGAGG